TTCGCCACTACACGGTCCCGGGTTCAAATGCCGGCTCGGGTCAAAATCAGTTATTGGGTTTTCTGTCAAAAAATTCTCAGTAGCACCTCGGAATCAGGGGGTTGACGGTATTTCACCCCCGTACCTCGGTTAAGCCTTAAGTTTTGGACTATGAGAGAGAGAGAGAGGGAGTAGATAGTGCACCTGTGCTTGCAGCATACACTTGCGCACTGTAATCCTGTCCTCCGCTGATGTCCAGGACTAGTCTCCGTTGAGACTGGTCGCCGTGACAGAAATTTGGTCAGCAGGACATTATTATATCTTTATAATATGAAAGGGTTTTCCTTATCATTCAAATTTTAGCAACATTTTCAAGGAACATGCAGACCAAAACTCAATTTTCCTCAACTTTGGCATCCAGATCGTAATCTGACATTCGTGGGAACTAACTTGAAACACGACACGGACAATTGGCTATTTAACACAGAAAAAAACTTGCTGACATCGCTTTATCCGTCAGTTACGAGCGTGCAAGAGAAAGGCTTACCAGATCAAATGATATTTGGGGCAAGCGTGAAACTGTTGTATAAATTATTTGACGATTTGTTGATGATATCGCGTTGGTTTCAACTTATTTTATATTTCTGACTTTTTGTTTTATAGATTAAGGGTGAGAAACGAACACATAGTCAATCTGATGGTAAGTGGATGCTGTGGCCCATAAACATCTACATTTATCTTCGATTAAGAATCAAAATGCAGATGCGTTGTCACCCGTGAGGACTAAGATGGAACGCCTCGTTTTCAGTAAAAAGGGTTTTCGGATCTCACTCACCATACGAAACACAGCAGCATTAAGCTACTATTTTACGCTGGTATTCTGTGAGAGCGTGGTCTTGTCCCGTTCGAGCCGACCCATTCGTGCTACAACCATAATATAGCTGTAGCGTTGCTCTACCACGTGTAAAAAAATGTTGCTGTCCATATACTGTTTTATTTACCCTCCGTTGCATTTTACGTATATATATATATATATATATATATATATATATATACAACATGTAACAAAATCCTGTGGTTCCCGTTAAGTGCGTTATCAGAATCAGTATAATATCAAGCGAATAGCAATATTTTTTTTTTTCAAAAAAAAAAACACATTTAAAAAAATTAATTTTAATGAAAATAAAAATAATTTCAAAATTGTACATGGTTTTATTATCTCTGCATTGGCCGAAGAGTAAGAGGATTGTCAAAGACCCCGCATTACCGATACTCGTGTGAGTTAGAGAAAAAAAAAACAATTTCCAAATTAATTTTTTTTCTTTAAAATAATTTTTTTAAATGTGTGTTTTCGGAAAAAAAATATTGCTATACGCTTGAATACTGACACTGATAACGTTACATGTTGTATAATATACCCACGCGATGATCACACACGCAACATCCTAATATCTCATCAATAACGCGGACTATTTTCTAGAATAACCCGAATGTGTTCTCCCTTACACATAAGAAAAATATAATCATTCACCCACGTCAAAGAACTGAAGTGAAGCCTCAACGCTCCGGGGAATAAGCAACCAGTGACCATTTGTAAGAAGGTCCCGGTCATTCACATTTGATAGATCACAATATTCACAATTCGACGCAAAATATCACCAATTCCTACCAACTCGCTGTGCGGGTGATTCGCAGACTTATTGCAGTTAAAATACATACTAATTACGATAAAGATTACTAGGTATTGAATAAATCTTATTTTATGGATTTGATCGCGTTTTATTTAACTTTTTTAATTCTCGACGGTTCGGGTGCTTTACAGGCATGTGCTTTTTTACCCATGGTCACGAGGGCGACTGAGGTGTTTAACGTATCATAGTTAGCCCTGTTACTTTCAGTTATTGAATATTAATGTGTGGTCCGCTCTACAATATTTTTATATTAAATCATAAACCGACAAGATTTGTGACTAACAATAACGCTATGTAATGCTCAATGATGCTGAAAGAAACATATTATCTGGGTTGAGCTATTTGTAAGTACAATAAAAAATATTATAGCGTGAAAAGCTATAATGTACGCGAACGGAAACCAAAGCGATTCTAAAGTGTTGCGCTATGTTAATTTAGTAACGGAACTATAAGCAACTGAGTAACGTTTTTATGTATGTATGACGTATGTAAGAATTGCACCTGAAATGTTGATAAATTCGGGTAAATTACAAAATTTAAGTTTATCACTCAATCTCCAGTTGAGTCAACGCCACTGTGTCAGTTAAAAACGGCGATGTCAGTTTTGCGAATTCATCAGATAAGACAGTTGTAATCCATGTCAGGGTTCTATGCGTTGTTATCTATGTATACTTACTGCTTCTTCCTGTATATTATTCTCTTATTCGTCATAATAATGGCTATAGTGAGATCTGAATACCAGCGTAAAATAGCAGTTCAATGCTGCTGTGTATCGTATGCGTATGGTGTAGTGTAGAGAACCGGAGACCCCTTTTTTATTGCATTTTGATTCGTAACCGAGGATAGATGTAGATGTCTATTGGTGACAGCAACCACTTACCATCAGGTGGACTGTGTGCTCGCTAGTCACCCATAACCTATATAAAAAAAATCTTTGCTTAAAGGCAAATAGATTGTGACAGCTGCGATATATATATATATCTTTACGCATATGTCACTCTGTAAAGTTGAAATAACTGCCTTTTATCGTGCTCAGGAGGTTATAGCATCGAGAATTTGCAGCACAATCTTGCTGTGTTTCGTATGGTGAGTGTAGAGAACCCGAGACCCTTTTTTTACTGGTAACGAAATATTCCATCTTAGAGCCGATCCTCATTTGCAGTTCACAGTTCGTTCTCGGTCCGATCTCGGTCTGATTTATTATAATGGAATGCGATCCGATCGAAACTTGACTGTTACGTATAGTATGAATGCACACAGATATTTTTTACTTGATATTATTTTATCAGACCAAGAACGAATTGTGAACGATATTTAAATGATGATCGGCCCTTAGTCTTCAAGGGTATAAAACGCATCTGTATTTACTGTTCGGAACAGATCAGCATTAAGTTGCTATTTTTACCCTGCTGTTCTTTGAGAGTGTGGTGGGTCCTCGGCCGAACCGATCTATTTATGCTACAACCATAATAGAACTGGAGTGTTGCTCTACCATGTATAAAAATACATGATAAGCGAGAAATATCAACGAAGATTCCGGTATAGTGTGCTTTAACGTTTGTTCGAACCAGTCCAGTTTAATCCCCAGAAGACACAAGTTGTTGGCGCGTTAACCGCTAAAAAGAACCCCTTTGTCGTATCTTCTCAGTTTCAAGGCACCCCCTTGTTGCCTCAGCCAGTATCGGAATCCTCGGCGTCAGCATATCGAGTGACGTGCGGTTTCGTGGTCACTTGGAAGAGAAGGCCAAATTGGCCTCTAAAAAAGCTTGGCATGCTTAGCAGAGCGGGACAGTATTTCATGCCGGCACACCGCCTGCAACTTTACAAGGCGCAGGTTCGGCCGCACATGGAATACTGTTCCCATCTCTGGGCTGGAACTCCCCAGTACCAGCTCCTTCCACTTGACCGCATTCAGCGCAGAGAGGCTCGAATCGTCGACGACCGAGTGCTTTCCGATCGGCTCGATTCACTGGCGCTGCGAAGAGATGTTGCATCTCTTTGTATTTTCTTTCGCATATACCATGGAGAGTGCTCTGAGGAATTGTTCGCAGCCGCCAAATTTCGTGAACGCACTACGCGGCAAACGTCCCGATACCATCCACACCATCTGGATGGTTGGCCGTCCACCACTGTACGTTTCAAAAGGAGTTTTCTTCCGCGTAGAACCTCTCTGTGGAATAGTTTACCACCGGCGATTTTTCCGGACCGATACGACCTGGAGACCTTCAAGAAAAGAGCTTACTCCTTTCTAAAGTGCCGGCAACGCACCTGCAATTCCCCTGGTGTTGCGGTTGATCATGGGCGGCGGTAGTCACTTAACATCAGGTGAGCCGCATGCTCGTTTGCCCCCCTCTTCTAAAAAAAAACTATATTTCAGCTAACCCAAATGCAGATAAAGCGATGCATAACTTATTGTAAATTATTTTCAACCAACAACGTCACTCAGGTCGCGGGCTGGTCTGGGCGGATGTGTCTGCTTGGCTTGTCGAGTTGTCGGACTGGGAGGCTGCGGCTGCTCAGCGTCTCGTCAGCGGTGTCTCACTCTTGACACCCATGCGTCATGTGTGATTCAAAACCACAAGTTAATAAAATATAATAGTAATTATGCTAAATACTACTGAGCTATAATCGAAGTAAAACTTGTATCTATAGTTTGCCATATAGTATGTTCTAACTTCTAATTTTATCTGTAGTCTGCACCTTGTTAAATTAACTATTGAAAATGTCTTCGGTGCTATCTAATATTTGTTCGTTAGAAATGTCTATAATGTTATGAAATAAAAAGTCTGCGTTTACTTAACGTAATTTAAGATAAAAAAGACTAAAATTGGTCTTTTTTATCTTATTTACGCTAAGTGAGAAGGAAAGGTAGACCGTTGTTGTGCGAGAATGTTTGTGAACGTCTTGATAATTCAGGAGTCTGAACTGTATTACGTCAACCCCATGAATGCTATCTTATTTTTGTAGGGTATCTCAACATGCAAACTTTGTATGATTGCATGTTCTTGACAGCGACCGGAAAATAAATGTTTTATTTTTTATTGAGTCGTATATGTGCATGTGTTCGTCCAGCAGCAAACTTTTACGTGATGTTAAAGTATGTCAAGTGTATGTCAAGAAGTTGACCATGAATTTTGCGTCACTTGAATGTACCAAACGTCCGTCTACATATATTCTTTTTTAAACTGAAAATAGATGGTAAATTCTCTAACGTCAACTCCACTACATACAAGCCTTTGATTTATTAATATTTTCTTTTCTTTTGTTCTAGAGAGCTGAAACCGTGACAGAGGACAAGCAACGGTACATATGTTCAACCACCTTCTCATTATGGGAAGTGCAGAGGGACCAGACGTAAAACCACATTTACCAATGGCGGAGAACGATAAGAAATCCATCAAGAGCATTCTGAAGAAGCCGTTCCAGGTGCTCTTCCAAAAGGACAAAAAGAAAGAAAAGAAACAGGTGATTGTTGAAGAGCAGAAGCCTGCTGCAATTAAATCGCCGCCAAAAGTAACGCCCGTGTCGGTACTTCTGGAAAACTTTCAGAAGTTACAAATAGACAAGAAGAAGGAAGAAGACGAAGAGGACGAGTTCAAAAACTTCTCCTTCAAAGTTGTAGAAGAGGAAAATGATAGAACGCAAGTTCGGGCCGACTCGCACTCTTCTAAAGACAGCGGTTTCTCTGAGAAAAGCACCACAGAAGCCGATTCAGAAGATGAGAAAGAGAAACAGTTGATAGACGCGCTGAAAGACCTGACAGTGGAAACGAAAGATGAAAAGGAGAAAAAGAAAAGAAAGATTCAAACTGTGTTTGTTTCAAGAGGTCCCATTAGGAATAAAGTAGGTGATCATGGAGCTTCGTCGCATCCATATAATGCGGGACACCAGACGACAGCCGAGAATGTCTACAGACAGGTAAAGATTATTTAATATAAAAATTATGTATTAATTGATGAATGATTGTAAAAATTAAATATATGGTCGTACGAATATTTGCGTAACGCCTAGCGCCATCTATTAATACTTATTTGAACTACGATGTGATCGGCGACCGGCGTGATCGGTAGATTGATCAGCGACTAACCCACGGCTGTAAGGATCCGTTTGTCATGACAAACAAGCTTCCAGTCCGCCTGATGGCTAACTTCAAGGCTTTTAATATGTAGTCACCCGTGAAGACTAAGATGAAATCCCCCGTTTCCAGTAAAAAGGGTCTCCGGTTCTCTACACTCACCGTACGAAACACAGCAGCATTAAGCTACTATTTTACCCTGGTATTCTGTGAGAGTTCTGTGTTCATTGTAAGGATTCCGCTTGGGTAAGTAACCAATCTCTTACGCATCTTTCCCGCTAAACAGCGGTGCCTGCACTGATGTATAATTACATATATACATCTGAAGTGTAGGTATAGTGAGCCAGGATAACATGCTATGAACAGATTATGAAAGGATATTGAGAACGTTTGGTGATGAAAGTATAAATGAGAATGGTGAAAGCCTCCTCACCATCAGTGTGGAAAAGAATTATTTGTGGTGATAACTTTCTTTCTTGCGTTAAGAAGATTTACATGTATACATGGGAAATAGGTGATGACAGCAGTATGATATATTTTATAATTGTGGATGAAAGAATGAAGAGCTTAGTGGTAAATACAAGGGTTCACCGGGTGTTCAACAAAGAGACGGATCATTACTCGATCTTATACCGAATTAATAGTATAATCAGTTGTGTGTGTTGGGGGCATCGGACATCTGTATCTACCACTGGTTTAGAACAGAGAGGCAATAATCTGAAAGTCATTCTATCTTAACAATAAATGGTGGTAACTCACCTGTAGCTTTCTTTGCTGAAAGTTGGAAAAGTTGAAGTGATAAACGAACTTACTCGTACAATCCTCAATCCTGAACTGCCACCAAAACTCACTGGGAAATATTCAGTTGCAGATTATCCCTAAGGCAAACTAAGTACTTTCCTAGGGATGTAATGTTACAAAAGAGTGCACGCGTAAGTTTCTAAACGAAAAAAAGTACTTATTTACTTACATAAAAATAAAAATCATACTTTCTATAGAGACGTAGAGCTCGCTAAATTGCCCTGACTTTCCCATCACATTTTATCCACGCCCACATGTTAAAGGTTCATGTTTTCTAATTATTTTTCAACTAAACTATATTATAAATAATAACATAGTATGTTTAATATAATTTATGTTCAAAATAAGTTGTTATAATTTATAATATTGGCCGCTAGAGTGGCGCAGATCAAGTGCTAGCTTAGGACACTATCGATAATTAATTCGCTTCTGTATATAATTGGTACATCACTTCTATCGAAAGTCATAAGATCTTTTTGGCTTAAACTTAGTCGCCTATTGTCGAAAGCGACCACACGTCACCTATCTTCTCATTGTTTAGCCTTAACTATAATATTCCTCGCAAATTAATGTATATTTTTTTAATTCTCCTTCCACAGATAAACCAAATCAACAGGCAAACTTTCTCCGGTGGCCAAGTGCTCACCAAATGCACACCAACAGACTACTTGTCCGAAATCAACTACGTATTAAACCAGGTGGAGAAGAATGTGCAGAACTCCGCCCAGAACTCCGTACAAGAGCAGGAAAGCAACTGGCAAGTCGCCATGGAGTTTCTCGAGAAATCCACGGAGCCCAAGAACATCCTACACGACTTCCCGCAAACACAGTTGACCCAGGACTTCAGCGTCGTAAACAGCTACCAACCAAGCTTACCGGAACCGAACCCGATCGAGGAGTTCTCGAACGCAAACCACGCGGCGTACGATGAGTTCACCGAATTAGGATTTACATCGATAACCGATTACGTCGAAGAGGACAACACTAGTCGGATAGATAAGACATCGATATTCCCGACGCCGCCGCGTTCGGAAAACATACCCAGCCCTATGTCGGACACTGCCTATAATCAGTCCCACTCGGAGTACACTTTATCCCCCGAACTATCTTCCCCACTCTCCAATAGTGATAATGAAAAATATCAAGATATTGCGCCATTCGAGATGAGCCAACAGGACTATCCAAGTTGTGTCACCGATATGGAAGGCGACACTTTCGACAGATCCAGGAAGGAAAGGACCTCGACCTCATCGATGACTATGAAGCAGTACAAAGACATGCAAAAGGACATATCGTCAAGTTTCTCCAAGAAGGAATGCTGCCAGATTAGCAGGAAGACCTGCAAGCAGATATTCCTAGAGCATATGGAGAAACTAAAGATGGAAGATAGGCGCGATCTATGCGTGAAAGTCGCGGGTCTGGATTTGAAGACTGCTTATGGGTGAGTATCATCTCAAACTCATCACTCTAACCAGTCTTGTCAACCTTAATCATAGGCGCAGAGTAGCCAGCTTCTAGGCGTTCTATAGAAAACATTACGTGCTTGGTAGTTTATTCTCATGTTAAACACTCACTACATACCTGCAATGTGTAGACAGAGAAACCTATAGACTAATGATTAGCGTGGCCTCGAGTGAGAAAGGACGATAACGTAGTTTTATGTTATACAGTAATCTTTATGACTGTTAAACATATATAGATAAAAAGTTTAATTGTTCTAAGAACAGAACTTAACAAGATTCACCAATCTTAAGCTCACAAAACACTTCTTTTCTCACTTAAACCAACTTGTAAACTCCTTAGATCGCTACGAACTGTCAAAGTTGTTTAGCAAAGTGTAGTTTGCTAAACAAAAGAACCGGCACAGAGTAAGGGACAAACAATCACACCGCTCTGTCTCATTTCTATGCAAGACGTATGCATAAATCTATCTTTTTCATGTGCGAATGCGAAAGAAGGCGTCAATTTGTCTATAGGTTTCTCTGTCTACGCTGCAATGCCATAAATCATCGATGCGCTAGGGGCAGTTGATTCTTGCTTCACTATGCCTTCCGTAAGTGCGACAGAGAGCGCAACAGGCGCCGTCCTGTTTCCCCATTTTACTGCACCGCGGGCAGCTATATTATAGTGTTTAACATTAGTATAGTAAACATTAGAGTGAGCAGGTAGGCATTACATAGTTTTATTCCTCTCACTCATTTACACCATCAGACAGGTAGATGGTTGACAGGTCTCCATCATTCGAACCAAACGGCATGCTTTGTCTGTTGTAAGGCGTACAGTAAGGCACTTGTTCACTCAAGGAACAATTTTGCAGGTGTCTACCTTTCCATCCGATTATTTTTATACGTGGTAGAGCCATGCTGCAGTTATTATAATAATAATAATAATGTCCTCCAGACCGAATTTCGGTCACGGCGGCCTGCCTCAACGGAGACTAGCCATCGGCGCAGGACAGGATTATAGTGCTCAAGTGTGTGCGCAAGCATAGGTGCACACTCCATTCCCTTACTCTTATAGTCCAATGGGACGGTAAACCGACACGACCGGAGAGAGAACAGGCGCAGGACCAATGGTTTTACGTGCTTTCCGAGGCACGGGGGTGAGGCACCGCCAACTTCCTGACTCCGGGCAGCTACTGAGAATTTCTTGACAGAAAAACTAAATAATCGATTTTTTAGCCCGACCCGGGATTCGAACCCAGGACCTCATGATCAGCAGTCGCAATACTACAACCACTAGACCAACGAGGCGGTTATATTAGTAGTATAGTTGTAGCACTAATGGGGCGGCTCGACCGGGGAAGGACCACGCTCTCACAGAATACCAACGTAAATGATGATCCCTATTGAAATGAAAATAAAAAGATCGCAGTCCAACTGATGGAAGTGGTAATAGCTATGATTTATTTATTTATTTTATCTTAAAGGGAAACATACATAATTTTAGTCTATTACATAACACATATTAATCTTACATTTAACAATAAAGTTTCCACAGTTAAGTAACGCATCGACAACAAGCAAACATCATGACATACTTAGGTGTGCAAAAACTAAAGTGAAGTTAAGTCAAAGTAATGTGTGATATTAAAGAGAAATGATAATTTAGCTATTAACTATTTAGCTATTACAGCTTCAATTTCCTTTTTAAACTGTCCATATGATAGAAAAAAATATTTCGACATGTGAAAAGTTGTTATTATAAGAATTACGTGCACGAGTTATAAAATTGTTCTTGCCATATTTTGTGCGCTAGTAGAAGTACAAAATAAAAGTTTCTTTCTAGCACTTATCCTTTGGCATCTGAAATTTATTTCACTTAGATGTGGTATGGAGTCGACCCTATGATGAATGATTTTATATTAAAACATCTGATCCCTGACAGTAGGTACGGCGAGATTTTGGGTCAAAGGCTAGTCTACACCAAATAGAGGCATCGCCGGCTAATCTAAATTGGATATGCTTCAGATAATTATTGTGAATCTTTTCAATTGAATGATGTTATATTGAGGATTCCAAACTGTTGAGCAATATTCTAATATTGAGCGGACCAACGGTTTATACGAAATAATAATTAAATACACGTCCAGGTCCCGCAACTCGGTTGACCCGACGTGTGTCGATACATCATTTATTTTATAATCAAATTCTATAGGTCTGTTTTTTCTGCTGATACATCAGATAGTATAAATAGTTCTGCTTGCGGCGGGTCCTTTTAATACGGTTGAGGAGTGCGATGCCCGCCCCATGCGTCGTACTTGTGTAAACAACTCCTGGTCGAACCGCCCAGCGAATGACCTACCGATCATATTTTCATGATTCAAGGTCAACGGGAAGTACCTTATAATGTTTATATCTTTACCCGTTTCTGAGAAAAGGGGTCGTGATAAACGCTCTATTATGCCGTCACGCCCCTTCTACACCGGGCCGCCTCTCTCGACTCTCTTGTGTGTGCGTGCGCGTATACAATACACTTCGTTGCTTCTCTGTTGAGTTGAATACAACGTGTGACTTTCTATTAGATTAAGAGTATAAGGCCTCTGCCTCGAATCTTGCGGGCAGCGGAGCGACGGCGACGGCGGCGCGGGAGCGGCGCGGGAGCGGCGCGGGAGCGGCGCGGGAGCGGGGCGGGCAACGCAGACCCGTTCACGAAACCAGTGTTGCCACCTTAGTGGATTTTCCACTAAATCTGGTGGTTTGGAACCCCCTTTTAGTGGCAAATTTTTTGCTTTTAGTGGCTAGTGGTTTTTTTAGCGGATTAGGAATTTTAAAAGTAACGTTGCCTACACATAAGATAGATATCTTTACTCAAAATATTCGTGACTATTTGGACCAAAGATGCTACCTGGGATTCCGATTCGAAAAACAGATTCAAGAAATGAAAGAGAAAGGTTTTCCACGGGAAGAGGAAGAAGTATTGCGGAATAGGTGCATACAGTTTATAGGTTGTCTGATTGACGAAATAAAAAACAGATTGCCGGAAAATATTACTCTCATGAAACAAATATCCCGTATAAGTCTCGAAAAAGCCCTGCATCACAACAAAGAAAATCTGGTTGATATAATGGCTCGGTTCGTAACAAGTACAGAATTAATTGCAAAAATTGACGATCAATGGCAGCAAATTCATTTACTGAGATGGAATGAAACAAAAGATACAAAAAATTTTTGGAGCAAAGTCTTGAAATTCAAAGATGCATAAGGTCTTGCTCGATTTCAAGAATTAGCAACATTTGCGATTACACTTTTGGTATTGCCACATTCGAATGCCGATGTGGAAAGACTTTTTAGTAGCATGAATAATATAAAAAACAAGCAGCGAAACAGAATGAAGCTAACTCTTTTGAAATCAATTCTAAAAATACGCTGCGGTATACAGTTAATGGGAAAGTGCTACAACAATTATGAAATTCCTTTAAATCTTATAAAACAAATCGGGACGAAGGAGTCATATCAGTCTGATAAGGATAACAGTAAGGCTGAAATGAAAATGCAGATTCATCTGAAGACGATTTATTAATGTAAATAATATCTTAAGCAACTTGATGTTTTTAAGTACTAAAAGTAAAAAAATTATATTAACAACAATAAGATTTTTAATAATAAACGTAATTTTACTTTTTTTTTTTGCTATAATTATATTCATATATCTTAGTGGAAATTTTAGTGGTTTTCAGAGGGGGACATCTTTTTGTTAGTGATTTTCTGGTGGTTTGAAGAGCCTTGTCCGGCGGATTGCTATTTCATCCGTTGGCAACACTGCACGAAACTAGCGGGCAGATTGCGCGACACTATAGCGGCGTAGTGATGTGTTCATGGTTGTGTTGTCGAGATGTTTGTTTTTATTTGCGAACGAAATGTCTGAACAACGGCGACAACATCTTTTTGATTCAAATTTATTTCTAACGCTCGATTTACAGTGGGCAAAAGAAGAAGTGAATCCCTACTACTTATAAGGCAAGGAAAAGAAAAGCCGAGTTTTATCGAAATTACGAAGAACAGAGACAATGTCCCGACAAATTCTACGACTACACCAGAATGAACGTAGAAACTTTTGACTATATTCTTGAAGCTATCAAGGGCGATTTAGAGTCTGTATTCAGTTCGTTTTTAATTTCTTCCCATAACTGGTTAACTACTTTTCTATTTTTATGGTTCACATCTTTGCTGTTCCATATCGGTGTTCTCTCAAAAATTGCTGAAATAATTTGCTCCTGCACGTCCGAGGACATTTCGAAACGTCACAAAAATTAATTGCACAGCACTGCAATGCAGACGTGCGGGCGGTCACCGCTTGACTGGAGTAAACCTCGTTGCCCGCCCCCCGCGCCGCTGTTTTCGAGAGTCGGTCCATTTGATTTTACGCATAAGATCCTGCCGCACCCGCGCCGCCGCCGCTGCCGTCCCGCTGCCCGCAAGATTCGAGGCAGAGGCCTAATATACTTGACGCGTTCGCCATGTTGTATTTCTTATATAAAGTAAAATATTATTGTTTTTGAAAGGTAAAGTAAAAGTTAAAGATTTGGAATCAGAGACTATATTATTTTATTTATTTTATTGCATACATATTTCTTTATTAGATTACATACGCGATAAACTCCTAAACTACTAAATTAATTTCAATGAAATTTTGTACACCGTGTGCAGTTTGGTCCAACTTGAGAGATAGGATAGTTTTTATTCCGATAAGTGACCTTCAGTATTACTTATTGCTAACTTAAGAATTTTTTATCGGAAACGTCGTAGGAAAGGTCCGAACAACGTCTGCCTGGCCAGATAGTTTACTGTTAAATTCTACCATCAACTATGATGTTTCACATTGCAATTGCAATCCCCGAATTCCTGGAAAGACATTTTACCTGCAGACTTACAAGAATAATACTTCTTTTTACAAGAATATGTCGACTTTACAACGAGATATCCATGAAAGACTCCGGTT